GAAGGGTATAGTTTCTTAAAGAGAAAAGAAGCTATACTTACCTCTTGGACACCGCATATACCTACGAAAGGATTCCCCGTGCCGTGTCGTCGTTATAGAGTAAATTAAGAAGGCTACTACTCTGTAACACTATATCAATAGGGAGTACTATAAAAGAAATGATAGCCTAATTTGGTGGAGTATGATGTGAATACCTGAATTGACATGAAATAACATCCTAGTTTGGTACAGACAACTGTTGAGATACAGCTAGGCCCTTAAAGTAGCTCCCCAGGGACACCAAACTGGAAGCATGAAGAGCACCTACTCAAAAGACACCAATTTAGAAGTAATACAAGGCCCAAATTAGGAGTAATATGATAAGTAATGAGAGGTGGAAGTTAGTTGGTGGACGTTGTACAGTAGTATATAAGTGGGATATATATGATAAAATAGGTTTGAGTTTGGGAACTATCCAGTGAGTTTGAAACTGGCCTGGTGCAAGACGGTTGATAAGGAGGTAAAATCTCATATAGCAGATCGCACATAGGTACTCAAGTTAGTAACCAGGTGAGCTGATACTGTATATACTAGATAGTTGTAATTGTACTTGTGACATTTGTAACCAAAATACCTTAGCGTAAATCTAATAAACAGTAGAGGCAAGACTGCCGAATTAAAAAAAAATATATATATATTTATACAAATATTCATGAATATAAATGAATCAATTATATCAATTACAAATCCTTGACTATCCATGAATTTTGTATAACCAAATATTGAATATTCAATGAGTATCTATATCTAACTGTGAATATTCATGGATCTGACCTCTATATAAGATCAATGCATAGCATAAATTCAAAAAAATAACGAAAATTAGTATATAATTATTTAATAAAGTTTTTCAACCCAAATATTCTTACCAAATTCGCGCGAAATAACGCATTATTTTAAAACATGTAATTCAAAGAGAGCTAATATTAATTTAGCTGAATACACCATAATTTTAATGTTAATAATTCTTTTGCTAAATTAATTTTTAGCTCCAAATTACGTGTCTTGAATAACGGCTATGAAAGTTTTTCGCGTAGTTTCGGTCCTGTATTATTTTGACCAAGTTGAAACCAACGTTGTGAATTAATCACGGGTCGTGACTTAGCATTCACATTATAACTAAGCATCGTTATGAGAATCAACTTCGAGGTCCTTTAACCATCAGGTAGGGATGGTAAAAAAACGGTTTAACCCATTTTTTATATGTTTTTAATTGTTTTAAAAAAAGTTTTAAAACATCGAAGCTGATGGTAAAATATAACTGAAGTTAAAATTATTGCATTTTGGCCGGGTCCAGCATTAAGCGCTATATTCTAAAAAACATTTTAAAACATTTTTAAGCAATATAAAATAAAACAATCATCAGTTCTAAAATACCATCAGGAACAGTAACGACGATCCATCAGGAACGGTATTTTTGCGTATATTACGTATGCTAAAAAAATTTACACAACTATACAACTATACTATATAGTTTCTAACTAAAATTCTTTAAAATAAAAATGCTATTAAACAAACTTTTACTTATTTTCACTTTTATAATCTTTCAGACATATCACTCTACTAGCTAACTTGCCAAAACCCAAACTAGCTTATCTATTTGAACCAGCCCCAACCCAACAGCAAAAAATAATTGACACTGTGTCAATACCCTATCTTTAAATTATGCTTCGGACTTATATCGATTCCTAGTATATACAGTATATAGAACTGTACATATACTATATATACGTTATATATTTATACCCTGGTCACTATATCAAGATCGCAGGGCATAAATCAGTTATACCCTGGGGTGTATAAGCGGGAATTTCATCCCCACTTATACCCAACTGCCGTTTTTAGAATATGAAATTCACCAAGTACGTACAGAAGTATGCTATTTCTCAAAAATAACTAGTGCTAGATAAAATGTCCACCAGTTTACGTAACTTTAAAATTTGATGTAAATGATTTTTGTAGAGCTCTTTTACTTAAAGTTTTATACGTATAAATAAAAATTTAATAGTGTTCTGAACACTAAATATCAATTTACTCTATATATATATAAAAGAATCTATACCTACGTCGTCGCCATTATTTTCGCTAACGCCGGGACTATATAAAAGTTACACAATAAAAAAACTAGTATATAGCGATAGAGGTTCTTGTGTAATTCTGTCTAATCACCTGATCTTGGTCTTAAGAAAAATTTCCATTTGTTCCTCCAGAGGTAGTTTCAAAAAAAAAAAAAAAAGAATGACGACCTACGAAGATCAAACGACTACTGCGCAGTACACACAGTATGCTGTCGATCCAACTGATCCTGCACTCTGTAAGTATTTTGCAAACGTTGCTGGAATAATGATGTCTGGCGATCGAAGCTTAGTGCAAAAAAAATGACTTCTCTTTAGCAATCAAAATAAATCTTTATATGTCTCTAATCAACTAGCCCTTTCTTTCTAAATTAAGCACAAGCAAACGGTGTTTCTGAACAAACACAAGCCGAGGAGGGCACAAATTCTGAATCCATGCCACAACAATCCGATCTAGAACGTTACTGGGATATTGTCAGGTCTAATCCTGATGTAATATATTATAATTACCTTTATAACGCGTTCCAATCTCTATATTGTCGATTGATATGTTTGTTGCTTATTACAGGATTTCACATCATGGGAATATTTGATTCGCGTTGCTGAAACTGCGGAAGGCGGCCTCACATCGCAGTCACCTCCAGAAAATATAACAAATATGCGTGACGTTTTTGATCAATTTTTAGCAAAATTCCCTTTATGCTTTGGTTATTGGAAGAAATATGCAGATTTCGAGTTTAATATTCAGGGGCCGACAGAGGCTGAAAAAGTATACATTCATTCGTTTATTCATTCATTTATACATGGACACTTTTTTAAAACTGTGAAATTTAATTACACAGATTTATGAGCGTGGTGTAGCTGCCATAGCGAATTCAGTTGATCTTTGGACGCAATATTGCGCATTTAAAATTGAACACTATCCGGATGATGTGGATGCCATTCGAGGGTAGGTTCATTGCTAATTTCTATTAATAAATCGTCTTTCTGTCTTTCCATATTGTTTTTGCCGTTTCGTATTCGACTTGGTTTGTTATTCTATATACTACTTCTTATGCTTCAAAGTAAGGCAGAAATGTCTCAGATTACAGTCCGAACAGAATGGCAGTAAAGAAGAAGTGATTGTACTTTGTTGTTTTCTGGTTATTTGTATTGTTTTGTATTTGTTATAAACCGTTCTTACTTGTCAAGTACAGCAAAGGATGATTAAGATGATTAAAGAATCACAAAGGAGATTGACATTACCAGGTGATGATGATTCAAAGGGTATCCGACGGAGAGTGCGACCCATGCCCTCCCCTATTTCGTAATCATTTCAGGGCTCGGGTCAATTGTAATCTAAGTTATAGCTTTTTGAGTTTTTACTACTGTCTTCGTTTTTAGCAAAGCGTTGTTTTCATTTAATTATACACAAATATTTTCTGTCGACATCTAACCATATAATGGCTTATTTTTATCAGGTTATTTGAACGCGGTGCTGCGTATGTTGGTCTTGACTTCCTCTCCCATTTGTTTTGGGACAAGTATATAGAGTTTGAGAAATCAAAGCAGGCATATGATCGGGTTCTAAAAATCTTGGACAGAATTATACGCATTCCGATGCATCAATATGCTAGGTTCTTTGACGAGTATGTTTTATTTATTTATATATTATTATTTATTAAAATTCATTCATTAACGCAGCTTTATATTTACTTATTTTATGTAATTTAGATTTACAAATTTATGTGGAACGCGGCCAATATCAGAACTCATCACACCTGAACAATATAAGCAATTTGAGGAGGAAGCGCGAACAGCACCTCCTGTTCCACCTGAAAGGACGGAGGGTGAGCAACCCCCTCCTCCTACAGAAAAAGTGCAGTTCTATGTTATTAGCTAATTTTAAATTGATGCATGTTGAATAATGATGCTAATTTCACATATTTTATTTATCCAGACAGAAGAACAGATTCAAAATGATATTAGAACGCGGATTTACAATATGAATATTGAGACATATATGAAAACGCAAAACGAAACAAATAAACGCTGGGTTTTTGAACAAGAGGTAACGTGAAATGATATTTATTTTCAAGAATATTCGATCCTATGTTCTCGCATTCAAATAATTTTTCACAATACCCGACATCAAGATTAAGAGGCCTTACTTTCATGTGAAAGCGATGGATGACGTTCAGCTGATTAATTGGAGAAGATATCTTGATTTTGAGGAAACTGAAGGAGATGAGACTCGCATTCAAGTGCTATATGAAAGATGTCTCGTAGCTTGCGTAAGTAATTTTAGGAATGTCTTCAATAACATTTTATAGATGCTTATTTACTAAAAAAAAAATCATTCTGAAACAGGCTTTATATGAAGAATTTTGGCAAAGATATGCTCGTTGGATGATATCTAAAAACAGGCTCGATGATGCGCGCAATATATATAAAAGGGCTACTTCTGTGTTTATTCCAATCAGGTTAGCATAATAATTTTGTTTACAACGTTAGTTTTATATTACATTCCGAGTTTATGACTAATATGTTTATTATGTCTTAGTCGTCCAAGTATTCGTTTATCTTATGCTTGCTTTGAAGAGCAACAGGGGAATATTGACGAAGCAAGGAATACATATAAAATGGTTTTGGATGCCTGTATGGATTTAGACTTTTTTCATTTTGCAATTGAATATATTATACTAAAACTCTTTCTTTTAAATATTTTGTGAAGTGCCGGGCCACGTTGAGGCAATAATGAAACATGCTCATTTTGAAAGACGTCGGCATCTTGATGATTTGTCGGTTCCCATTAACATTCTAACATCTTCGCTCCAGGGTAATAATCTCGATGAAAAATCTAAAGCTTTCATTACAGTGCAACATGCAAATATGCTATGGCGTGCAAGTATAATTTAATTTTTAATATATAAAAGTTAACAATATTGATTAAGCTTATTCTAGCTTTGGATATATATTAAAAGAATAAAGGTTCAATAGAAGAAGCTCGCCAGATTTATCAAGAGAACTCAACTAAATATCTTGATAGCAAATATTTTTGGTTGAATTATTTTAACTTTGAATTATTTCAAATCGGTTAGTATTGAATATCATCTTTTATATCCTGTACCAGATTCTCATAATGCTTGTAAACTGCATTGTATATTCAGGCTCCGCAGTAGAAACTAACGTGAAAGCGGTTTATGATTTGATTCGCAATACATCTACGCTTTTACCGGAAACGATAAGAGATTTTTCGCATCGATATCTTGATTTTCTTATGGAACGTGGTTCAACTATAGCTTTTTATAATAAGATCGATGTTGAAGCTAATGGCCCCATCACTGTACGTCCAGTTTTGGATACCAAAAAACGTGGAGCTGATGAAGAGCCTGAAAAACCTATAAAGCAAGTCAGAATGGATGGCGTTATTGATGCTGCCGCAGGAACACCTGCAATTCCAGTGGCACCATATACCACCACCGCTGGAGTGCAGCCACCGTATTATTCTCAAGGACAATGGAGTGCATCAGGGTATTCTGTTTACCCCACCGCTAATACTGCTCAGCCGGTTAGCATCAATTTATTCTTCAACGTTTATATTTAACATATCGAATCTAAAGTTTAATCTACTTTAAGGCAACATACCAATACCCTTATCAGTATCCTCAACAAGCTGCGACTACACCTACCACTCCCGCACAGGCTCCTGTGGCTACGTGGGACTATGCACAACCAAGTACTACAGGATATTAATTCTGTGAAAAGACGAATGAACTGAACTTAATTTGTTCCGAGTTTTTTTTTTTGTTTTTTTTTTTTTTTTCTTTTTAATTTGCTGATCATGTTTGAGATGTTTGCTTTAGGAAATTGAAAAGTAGTGATCCTGGCCAATAGTGAAAAAGTCTGCTAAAGCTAATTTCGGCTTAGCTGGCCAATTTTTTCAAAATCGGCAGATCGGTTTCTTATGATAATAATTCGCGCATAAGCTTTTGATCATTACAAAAAGTTTTTTTGTATATATATTGAGTCGTACTTTCTTGTGTAACATCAAATATATATCATTAGAGGTATAATGTGTAAGCGATGTACTCAAATAATGGATTTAGATCATTGACAAGTGATACAATATTTTTTAATTAGCGTTATAAAACATAAACCGTAATACGGTGTATTAACAGAAATTTGAAACTCCAATAAAAAAAATAATTTTTTATTTGTAGTGTTTTGTGTTTGCTCGAGATCTCGACAATTCAAGATCTCATTGACATTCAAGATCTCGATATTTTAGTATTTGAGTTTCACTTCGATAAATATATTTTAGATTTTTAACTCAATTTAAAAGGCTAATTGTTTTTTTGACTAAATTATAATTAATACAGTATAATTGAAATTTAAAACATCAAAGTTATTTTATTAAAATATTTTTAGATAAAAGTTAAAATAAAAAATTTGTATTTATAAGAACAGAATAAGTAAAAATTATAAGTAATTTTAGTTATAAGAGTTGGCAAAATTTTATATTATAAGAATTTGCTTTTAAGTAGCTAAGTTTTTATTTTACAAACTAGACTATATAAAATTTATTGTATAATATAATATAGTAAAGATTTTTAAACCAAAATTTTAAAAAATTCTATTGTATATAAAAAATACTGTATACTGTATATATAAAATACAGTATAATATTATTTAAAACAAATAAATACCTACTTAGAACTCTTTTTAACAATCACCTGCACCAAATTTTCCACTAAAAAAAAAACAAATATTTATTAAAGAAACAGATATAGTATTTATAAAGGTTAACCAAGTTGCTTCTTTGTACTTTTGACTCAGAGACTTCTTTATATATTTAGCATGCAAGTCAAGAGTGTTTTTGTACAAGATAACTAGCAGAAGAGTGTGTTTTTGTACAAAAAATTTTGAAAAGGTTTTTTATCTTTGCTAATGAAGTTTTTTATATCTGTTTTATACAGAAAATAGCAAATAAGCTCTTTTCTATCAACAATACTCTTTTGAAAGTCTGGTGTCTTGCCACCACTTTTTACCTTAGCTGTTCTTTTTACAAATTTGCTTACTAAAAATAGGCTTTTTGGTATACTTTATTAAAAGATCAGCTTTGTTTATCTTTTTTTAATTTAGACTGAATTTGGTAATATGTTTGTTTTGCAAGCATAATATACCTATTGTTACAAAATAGGTTGTAACACAGTGTGACAATAGAATAGAATAGTTAGTTATATTCGAGTATCTATATTATTATTATTATATATTATATTACTAGTTATTATTATATAGTTATATTCATTAGTATAGTATTTATTATTTTATTATTGTATTATTGTATTAGTTATAGAACTATTACTGGCTAGTTATATACAGCACAGTAATGCTGCACAAGTGCCTCCAAGTGTTTCTATACAAGTGCCTCCAAGTGCCTCTATATAAGTGCCTCCAAGTACCTCTGTACAAGTGCCTCCAAGTGTCTCTGCATGAATGCCTCCAAGTGTCTCTGTATGAGTGCCTCCAAGTGCCTCTGCATAAGTGTCTCTAAGTGCTTTTGTACAAGTGTCTCTAAGTGCCTCTTACATGGTTTAGCCATTACACTTCTTATGTGTAGAAAAGTTATAAAAAGGGAGTCTCTGCCTCTTTTGCTCAAGTCAGAGTTTTCCTACTCTCTCATAGAATCTAGCCTTATATTATTCTACCCTTCTTATATTTGTATAATATGATATTCCCCCTCTAGAGTAAATCCTACAGACAAGGTTATCACTGTGACATTTGTGTTTAATAAAGTTAATACCATATACCATTACTATCCCAAACCGTTTGTCTACTGCTATAAAGTATAGTGAATACTTTACTCCACTCCCTGTATATTCCTACTATAGGTTTCTCTACAGTGAGTGATCTTGTTACCTTGCTATATTGTTGATAGAAGGCTATAGTATTGTAACATTTTGGTGCCTCCTGGTGAAAAACCAAAACATCACTCCGGAATGCCAAAATTATTTCTGAAAACCCACATTGCTCTTGGAAAGTTCAATACCCGAAAAGGCATAATCTATTTTGAAAAGCAACATCTATTGTGAAAACTTTCATCTTGATTTGAATTTTGAATAATTATTGACAGCACTTATATTTTACAAGGTATAAATTTTATTATTATTTGAGGATTAATTCTAGTGTGAATTAATCAGTAATTATCATACTACCCAGTGTTATTATTTTATTGTTTGGAGTTATAGTACTCCCTGGTATTATTTATTATTACAATTGCTTGTAGTTACTATACTATCTAGTGTTATTATTATATTGTTTGTAGTTATTATTACCTGGTGTTATTCTAATTATTGTTTGTAGTTAATGCTACCTAGTATTATATTGTTAAATTGTTTCATTATTATTGTATTGAAATTATTGTTATTACTAACTCTTTTAGAAGAATTTTGAATTTTATTTTAGCCTTATAGAAGATCCCCTAACTCAATATTATCTTACTGCTATTAAAAACCATCAACAAGCTCATATTGATAGCCCGGCTATTTCTTATATTGTTTTGCAAACCCTTAAATCTGATTTATTATGTGTTGAGTGTTTTGCCCCAAAAACCCCTGGCAGCCACTCAACCTTCCTTCATTTTTGGCAGTGGTATTCTCAAGAATATCAAGCTATATCTTATAGTCACAAAACTCAATCTACTTATAACAAATTAGTTACTGCTTCTCGATCTACTACTTGTGATATTATTTTTAGTTGTCATTATAGAAACAACATATCCTCACTTCGCTCTGTAGTTTCAATTTTATTTTGAAACTATACCTCACACGCTTCTATCTTCCAAATTTTTGATAATAGAAATCATTTTGATAATTATATTAATAACCCTAACTTTACTCTTCCTGCTATTTAATTAATTACTATATTTGAAAAATCTCCATATACTATTCCTGTAAAAGCTATTAAAATTGTTGCTGAACCTATTGCTAGTTCTTTTGAAATTACTCAGAAAGATACTGAGGAAGTTGCAACAACTTCTATTATTGACACTACTTCTAATCTCTCTAAAACTATTACTATTACTCTTGGTAATAAAACTAAGGAAATTTCTACTATAATTAATTCTGTTAACCTAGAAAATATAACTAGCTCTACTTTTTATACTCCTACCTCAAGTCCTATTACTATTGTTTCTAATATAAATAATAGTACTATTAGTAAATTAGTATTACTCCAACTCCATATTTCATCTACCTATCTTGATATTTTAGGAGATATTAATAATACTTTATTTACAAATACTGCTATCGAAAACCCTTGGTATAATCCTCATATCCCTTATTATACTTACCAATTGAAGTACACCCTGTTGAGAAAAATAATACCCCTTATATTTCAATATACCTATCAATTGAAGAAACAACTTCCAAACCCAAAATATTTACAAGTCTATTTGAAATATTTCTAGAAGAGGAATTTTCTATTTCATTAACTAAAACTCCTTCCACCTCTGAAGATTCTGAATCATCTGTTGATACTACAGGATTATATTATCATATTGATTAATTATTTCGTGAAGAAGATAATTCAAACCAAGAAAGAAAAATAGAAGACAATTATGATGAAGACGAAATTCAAGTTGAAGAAGAAAACCCTATGGTTGCTGCTGCAAAAGCAATTAGTAAACTTGCTAAAGCTTTAAATAAAAATAGAAAAGGCAAAAAGAATCTCATTAAAATTGAAGCTTTTAAAGGTGATGGAAGTCAAGACTCTATTGAATGGCTTAATGAATTTGACCAAGCTGCTAAAGCAAACTATTGGAGTGAAGATAGACAACTTGAATTGGCCAAAGCTTATATAAAAGGAATTGCTAAAGAATAGGTAAAAACCAAAAATAACAACCAACTCAGAACATATTGGAATGCAGAAGCAGAAGATACTAGTTTTAAAACTTTATTCAAAGAAAGATTTAATACTACTAGATAGAAGGCCAAATGGCAACAACAACTTTTTGAACTTAAACAAGGCAGTAGTACTGTTAATGCTTATATTGCCAAGTTTAAATGCCTTAAAGATAGAGTTGAAGAATTATCTGAAACTTTTCTAATCTAACAATTTATTAAAGGATTAAGACCTGAATTTGCTTTGCCTGTACAAGTTTCTGCCCCTGCTAATTTAGCTACTACTATTGAAACAACAAGACTCTGGAAAACAAAAAAATTTATAACTACTGACACTGACATTAAAGAAGCCATTATTCAGCTTACTGACCAAATTGCCAAGTTAAGTATTAATTTAGTCCAACAACAACAACAAGTACAACAACCCCAAAAACTTGCTTATACTGCTGAAAAAAAACTTACCCCAAACAAAAGTAAAGCTCAATATTTTTACTGTGGAAACCCTGGTCATTATATTGCTAACTACTACAAAAAGAAAGTGATGATCAGAAGAATGGAGGAAATAGAAATTACTATTAAGATCAAAATTCCCAATCTTCATGTTATAGAGAACAAGATAATCGAAGCTATAGAAATAATAGAAGTCAAAGTCAAAGTCAAAGTAGAGATAGAAACTACCATTCTCAAAGAAATAGAAGTAGATCTAGAGAAAAAAGTCAAGAGAGATGGAGACCAAGATCAAATCATTCTCCTTCTCCTTATTACCAAAATGTGAATATGGCTGAAACCAAACCTAAAACCACTCGAATATGAAAAGATTTATTAGACAACTACTCTATTCGAACTGCTCTA